TTGATTACAAGTACAAGAACGAGACAGCCGCGAGGGAGGGGCTGTGGGGGATTTCTCGGGAATGGGAAGCGAGATTGATATCTGCATGTATGTAATATTCGTGTGAGCTTACTGACCTTCGCAAGGGACCTTCTATCAACGGCGAGAGAATAGATGGTCTGGCGTCCAGGGATCGTGTCGAGGCCGGCCGCTGGCAAGCTGAAAGCTCACACACTAACAGACAGACAGACAGACAGACAGTAACGGCAGCGGCTGGTGTCTGTCTGATATTCCGCTGATGATGGCCAAACCCGATGGGTATATGCGTCGCCTTCGTCAGACTTCGCCGCAGTCTTGCCGCCTTGTTTCGTTTTGTCTTTCGTTTTCTTCTTCTTTTTTTCTTCTTTTATCACCTTCTCCCTCGGGCTCCCTTCGGTCCACCGCTCAGGGCCTTCGTTCCGTGTAGGTTTCGGTTCGATACCTCCGCTTCTTCCGCACTATCCCAGCAAATTGCTTGCCTGGCCGACGCCCGCTCCCATACGACTGCTAGCGCTCGACCGACTCGGTGATTGGGAAGTGGCGGCTGGCGTCTTGGACGAGCTCGTTGACCGTTGCGCGACGATCCTGTCCGCGTAGAGAATAAGAATAGACAAGAAGACTGAAAAAAACAACACCCAGACACACGAGGGCCTAGAAGAAGGAGGTGGGAGAGAATGAGAGAAAGAGAGGTGCGCAATAGAGATTGCCGGCCAACATCAACACACCGTGGAAGCAAGCGGCAGAAGAGGAGGGGGGCACATGTCCCTCAGATAATATCATCTTCTTGCGCGCAACTATCTGAGATACGGATACGTATCTTAGTGTCAGCCAGCCTGACGAGAGAAACGCCCGTTGATCTGTCGGTTGGACCATTCGGATCCAGCCCCCTTACTGAACCGGGAATTCAGAGCCGTCCTCCCCCACAGCTTCGTCCCGTCTGCATACTACCTACCTACCTACACTATGTGCGTCCACAGTAAGCTCGGGGAAGACGCAAGACTGTTGGGCTGCTGCTTTCTTTTCCGTTAGACTTGTCTTGGTCTGCAAACCACCCTGGTATCATCATCGTGTTTCTGCCGTGTACCGAGGTACCCTTCTCGTCAAACCCGGTTGCTTTTCCTCTTGCGCTCTTGGCCCTTCACCTCCTTGGGGTTACTTTGACTCGACGAATGGGGGATGGAGGGGGGAAGGGGGCTTCTGGTGCATCACTTTCAAACTGCACCGCATCGCCTCGCCTCGCCTGGAGCGAAGAGAGTGAGAGGGGGGGCACACCGTCAGACCAGACCAGACAGGCCGACTTTCCTTTTTTGCCTTCTCGGCGCATGCATCAGTTTACCGACGCTGCATCTGGCTCCCAAAACGCCTTTACGTCCAGTCGATGTCGATAGCGACGGCCTGCAGGGGAGGGTCCCCAGCAGCCAGGGGCAGGGCAACGATCGTCCCAGTGGTCGACTGCAAAGGAAGAGTTGTAGGATCACAGCGTAGCACACATACTGGGACCGGAAAGGATCCTGGCCCTTGTTTGGCCATCGACTACGGTAGCTGGGTAAGTATTCACATTGTCTTTTGCTGATTGATCGCATTCGACTCGTCTGATTCGATTGATGGCTTGATTGACTGATTGATGCATATGAATGACATGGCGAATTAGCGCCGGCTCACCAACTCTTGACGGTCCAGAAAACAGAACGCCGCCTCTTCCTTTGCCCGCCGCATTCCCATTTCTGACTTTGTCCCCTCCCTTGGGCCGAGATTGCACATTACATGGCATGGTACCGACGAGTTCAGACTACTATCGCCATAAACAAACTTTGTCAACCACCGGCTCTACCTATCCCAAGCAACGAGCGCGGCAGACGAAACCATGGTTTAGTTTTAATCTCATTTCTTCTGGAAAAGCTCCTATCGCAGATAAAGAAGAATAAAAAGAAAAGAAACGAATCGAAAAGAAAAATGGCCCAGCATTCCCCCCCCCCCCCTCGCGGCGCTGCATATGTCCATCGCGAGACGGGCAGAAAATTGCTTCGTTAAACGCGTAATTACCCGCTTAAACCAACCCTTTGGGTCGTATCCTGGGCATGGGAGGGGAGGGGTCGTCGCACCGCCATACCCCTTGTCACCGGTCCACAATCCACGGGAGAAGACGAAGAAGAAGAAGAAGAAGCCTTCTACCCACCAACCGTTGGCAAAGCACATCTCAATACCTAGATGCCCGGGCAACCCCTCCACGGTGGACGCAACAAGCCCAGTTACGAGACTATCCCAATCTCTTTGCCCTACCTGTATCCCACGTCGGGCGTCTGGAACTCACCATTGCTTCCAACAGAGAAGGTCTTGGACTCTTGGTCAACAAACACACTGTACACCACTAGAAAGCAGATGAAATGGAGAAAGACAAAGAAAGAGAGAGAGAACGAGAGCAAGAGACCTTATCAGTAATCGCCCCTTGCAGCTCCACAAATGCAGGTGAACCTGGCCTTCGTCCTCGCCTGGTCTACACCCTCCGCCGTCCTGATACCTGCCACACGTACCTAGTAATAGTTGAGAGTCTGGCCGACCAGACATCAAAGACAGCGGCGGCCGTTGTGCCCTATCCTGCCTGCGATGCCATGCCCGAATGGCGTCGCCTCCGCGTCGAATTTCCGCTGCACCGCTTCACTGCCTCCATTCAGAAGCTCCTAGCCGACATCGGACCCCCCTCCCCTCCTCTCTCTTTCTCTCTCAGTTGGCGCTGCTGCGACGCCACGCGATGCCATACCTTGTCGTCCGCAATCATTGAGCATCCTAGAGGATTGCTTGTTGACCATCCGGAATGACTAGTGCTACGCCAGGGATCATCTCTCACGCTGTTTTCCCGCGGCCAGACCTACCAAAAGGGTGACGACGGGATCAGCCAGCGGCTTGGCCGTTGGTCGATATCGAGTCTACTATTATAGTCCTACCGTCCTGGCGACACCGACCTGCTGGATTAAGCCCGGAGCTTGGACCTCACGCCATGTGGCGTGAAGTCGGTACGATGGCCCTTTGCGAGTCCACAGCGGTCAGGCCAGCCAGCACACCCCTTCCTTGATCTCGATCAATGTAGGTACCTTGCCGCCTCAGCTTCCGCCGGGCCGATGGCTGGGGCAACCCACAACACTCTATGAATATAGGGGTTTCCTGACCGTCCGAGGCATCACGTCCCCCCGCCCGACGTTTGGTAGGGCTGCCACACTCGGGCTCCTCCTAGGTAGGTACTCTCCCGCAGCAAGGGAGAGATGCTTGTCCCCCTGAAGCTGAGCGCGCCACCATCCATCCTCCGCACAGGCACGACGGGCGTGATGAGGGGTGTCGGAAGAGATCATTTTCATCTTTTCCATGTTAGCTAAACGACCCTGATCAAGCACATGCTGCGCCACCTGTGAGAAACGTGGACGGGGATGGGGATGGCTGGCCGAGCTTGCTTTAACCTTGACCGGCCCGCTCTGCCAGGGTCTTGAGATAACACGCTGCTAACAAGAGCTTGGGGAGGACTTGGCTTTGTCGAATTTTCGTAACGTAATGGATCCAGACCGCTGGGCTCACTCTCCCTCCCAATGCCTTATTCCCCTTGAAGCGTTTGCGCGCCGTCTCATGTGGCTACCGCTACCTGATATTAGCGCCAACGGGGCAAACAACCATGAACCTTGCCCACAGATGGCAGCAGTAGGTACGACGTAGGTACCGTAGGTTCCTGTTCCTCAGTGAACGGGGAATGTCGCATGTCACAGATGCATACTACACTGCCATGGTTTGTCAGCATTTTCAATCAGAACCCAGTTGCTTATTTCGACTCGTTGAAACCGACATGTGTCAGACCGAAATACGCAGCCTGGGCAGTTCCCCGTAAAATCAACAACCCAAGAAACTACCATGGCCTTGCCAAGTTGACGGTCGCCTGGACGCATCCCATCCTCCGCATCATACACCTGCGGCACAGTCGTGACACCCGGGACACCTTCAACTGCGACCTGTCTTCCGTCCTCCTCAAGGACCCAAAGAACCAAGCACATCTAATTTCGTCGGGAAGAAACTGGCAGTTCCTGCTACCAGGACTTAACACTGTGCTACCATATACGGCTTAGCCGGATTCTAGAGTTGCTGGCTGCCGCCGGCATGTCGAGGTTGCCATGCGACACGGTCCTCGGTCTATAATAGCTTCCCTCGAGCCCATGCTACACACGCTTCATTGCTACTCTTGACCTGATCTCTTCAATCTAATCTTCTCTCGTACGTATTGCTATGCCGTCTGGTCCGGCAACCAAGTGCGTTGCCATTCGTGGGCGGGACCCCGGTATTTTCACCTCCAGGCTGTTCAACTCGAGAAGCTTAGACCTGAGGGTTTGCCACGACGGAGCAGCATACGCTTGAAGGGAGGAGCAACCCCATACATCACATGGAATTTGGGATTTGCCCCATTTCCCGACCCCGAATGTCTCCGATCCCTTTCCAAGTTCCAGAGGCGCTGCACCACGGACAGCCTCCCATTATCTCCATCTAACCCTTTCATTTGGTGTTGGCGCATCCGATAAAGCCCCTCCAAGTGGACATAGACCTGGCAGGATGGCTGCGGACAAATTGCCCCTCGTGGGGGAGAATACCAATTGTTCGAAGGGTTTCCATCTCACCGGCATCCCATCATACACTATGGCCGTCCTAATCGACTTGATCATATTCCTCCAATCGTGGTGCCGAGTATATCAATTCCACTGCTCTTTTGGATTCCCCCAACGACAACCTGGTGGCCTTTGTGATGAAGCTTGGTCGACCAGTCCTCACTTCCCTCTGGTAGAGGCATTCGGCTCCCGTTCAACTCTATATTTATTCTATATGGATCGTATCTTTTGCCACCTTGGCCAATGAATCTCCGGCTCATACTATCCCAACCTAACTCATTCTGTTTCGTCGCCATGTGCCCCTATCTCATCTCGCAGCGGTGCTGCTGAGTGGCACCGTCGAGGCAAATGGCAACCCCAGCGCTTGCTCTGGTCGGTGCTGAAGCCATGATCCTGCAGCTTTTCGTCGCAATAACAGTTGTTCGTCACGAGAACAACACCCATTTCTGTTTCAAAACCGGCAGTACAATTCACTTCCGAAAAGCCCCTGGCTTCGTCGGCTTCTGGGCCTACCATGGCTCTACTTTGCTGGCTGGAAGCAAGGTTAGTCTCAAGACAACCATAACCTCTGCTTATAGCATGTTAAAACTTCCTTCTTACTGCTTGCTTTCGTTACTCCGGTCGTCATGTGGACTTCTCAATCGCTGGTCCTCACTATTGGTGGTAGACATAATTGATCGGATGAGTCCATTCCCTACCTTAAGATGAGTCCTTGCAGGCCCCCGATGTCAACAAGGCCGGCATCCAGGATATCATCTACTACGCCGTTTTGTTTCTTGGTGTCCAGAACGACGTCATCGGTTCTGCGAACTCGCTCACGATGGGGTACGGCTTCTGGACCACCAAGGCGCTACCGACGTTGCTTCGAAAGCCGAAGGCCAACGGCCGCTACAATGCTATCGAAGCTCAGCTTACCAAACCCGGTAGTATGTACTACCTCGACTTCAGATCCTTCTGTGAGAACATCTTCCAGGTTCCCTTGAACGTAGCGCCCACCAAGGTCGACGGTAAGCCACTCATCTTCTTCAACGACATTGGATACACCAACTCCCACACCCAATTCCGCAACAATGCCATCTCCTAGCCCGGTGACTAGACCCTGTCTGATGCCAATGACTATGGCCTCAATTGTCATCGAAAGCTGAGTGGTTTGATATTTTGCACAATCTGGGTCTCGGACATACACACAAGAACTTTAAGTTCCCATCTGCGCTAGTCCTTACGTTCCCCTTCTTTTCATGGGACCAGTTGCTTGTTTTACTTAGCGCATGTTGTCAATGCCCCCTCCCATGATGATGATACCAACTTGCGACGACACATAATCTGCCTGCGTATCCCGAGCTTTACTGTGTAACCACTTCAAACAGCTTTGACGAACCCCAATAGGACCCGATCGACTACGTTAATATGACAACTAACCACAGACTGATGGAGATAAGGGCGAAGTAACTCTCGGGGTCCTCGAAGTTGTTGCCATTTCACTCGCATTATAGGGATGTGCCTGGCTAAACCACGCTTCGAGGCCGAGAGAGCCAATTACCAATGTTCGATGTAAAATATGATGCATTACCTAGCTACACTATCCCGGTCTAGAAACCCAAAGACACTTGCTTCCGGAAGTGTACCATTACTAAAGACATTACGATATCGGCCATCCTACTATCCCACCAAAAGCCAGAGCGGAGACGAGCATAAAAGCAAATTATCCACGCTTCCCATTAACGGATTGCAAATATGTATAGGCATGTTACGAGTATAGTCAAAGACCCAAAGGTGGGACGATACTCGTCTATTCGGTCTTCGTGGCGCCATCACGACCCCCGTCAGAACCACGGCGAGGCCTATCAGGGCCACCGGGGCCACGGGGACCGTCCGGACCACGAGGGGGAGGAGGAGGAGGAGGAGGAGCGGCTCCAGGGAAGCTTGGAGGAGGAGGAGGAGGAGGAACGGCTCCAGGGAAGCCTGGAGGAGGGGGAGGAGAAACGGCTGCGGGGAAGCGTGGAGGAGGAGGAGGAGGAACGGCTCCGGGGAAGCCTGGTGGATAGACACCCGGGGCGTCGCGGAAACCGGGACGGGGCTGAACAGGGTAGGGACCGAAGGGGGGGCCAAACGGGGGGCCAAGCGGGGGAGGTGGGCCGTTGATGTCGTTGCGGAAACAATCGCGCTGGCCATCCCGGTTGTCGCCACGTCCATTACGGTCACTATCGCGATCATCGCGGGGCACCCTGCGGTCGCCATCGCGATCACCGTCCTGGCGACTGCGCATGCAGCACTGTCTTCCGTCCCTGTCAAGGCCGCGGTCCTCGGCGCGGCAGTCCTGGATTCCATCGAGGTTGCCATCACGTCCGCCGTTCTTGTCGCCGTTCTTGTCGCCGTTCTTGTCGCCGTTCTTGTCGCCGTTCTTGTCGCCATTCTTGTCGCCGTCTTTCTTAGGCTCCGGGACGGGAGAGGGAGCAGAAGGAGTGGCATCTGGCACAACCGGGGTTGCCTGTCTGCCCATAAGAGCGGGATGGCTTAGAGCGCTGTAAACATATTAGTATAGATTAACTCTAGCAATGATTCCTGCGTCCAATGTACATACCTCTGCTCACGGGTGTCCATGCCAGATGGAGCACCGTTGGCACCCATGGTGGCAGCGACCATAACAATGAGAGACTGGGAGAAACGCATTGTGAAGAAAATGAGTAATTAGGGATGAATATCTTTCGAGAAGCTCGCAGAGAAAGCCTTGGAAGCCCTCGTATGACGGTAAGCTAGTTGCCAAGAGCCTAATAGAAGAGTTGATGTTTGATGAGCGTAATGAGGAAGTGGATTTGAGAGAGAAAGAGCAGCACATTTGACCCTTTAAGTACCCTTGTGAAGTCAATCATGACCATGTAACTCTAGGCAGTTTAGCAACATATTGGTCACCTTCCTCGCCGATGGTGTCGCCTTACAATGCCGGCTTGCTTTCAATAGTTCTGTTGCATCCGACGACACCAACAACAATGACGCCGAAGATAAGTACACATGCTTCAAGTTTTCCAAAACTTTATTATGCCATATGCATCCAGGGTAATATTTGCAGGGACTAGAGTCCATGGACCAACCGCTACCACGCACGCCTTGGTGGCCGTGGCCTTGGCCGTCTGTCGGCACCACCACCGCCAATTCTTCTTGGTACTCGAAGATATGAAGTTGGCGGATTGGCTTTGCGAAAAGTTCTGATATGTCTACTTAGCAAGCTTAAGGAGGAATAACTCCGCGAGCAAGGAAAGGTGGTGCCATGATGCCTCAATCTTTTGCTGCTCTGTTTCGCCTCAGGAGTTCCCTAAGTCAGAGTGTCTACTGGCGTCTTTGTTGCGAATTCCGTCGTAAACCTTTTCTTATTTTTAAGCAAAGAAACATTCGGCATTTTATGCCATGAGGACGTTAGATGCTTTTCTAAGGCTTTGACCAAATATGTGTGCCTATGTTGTTCAGAGGTATCTCTATCTAGCAATGGCGCTATCATGTATACTTCGTTATCATAATTGCCACCGCCGTCTCATTTGGCCGAACTTTTCAAGGGCTGAGACACACAAGCATGTGTCAGCTGCTAACAAATCCCCCCACTGGTTCATACCAATTATGGCGAACACCACCATCACGAGCGAAAGATCACTGCTTGGTCATGTCGCACGTCAACTCCATATTTAGTATTTCAAGGGGAAAAGTTCCAAGCAGGAGACTCCATGCCGGATAGTTGTATCGGAAGCTATTGAGATATCTGAGAATTCACAAAAACGGGCAACCGGTCTTGAAGGTAATACGGTAGAAAACGCATCCCACCTGAAGGTGAAGAAACAAACCTGGCTCTGACTTATGAATGGCATGTCATTATCCGCTTTTCTCTGATTTGGCGATTGATTATTTGAGATTTCATAGTCCCACGAGAAGTGTGTGTGCGTCTTGATTGAAGCAGTGACGAAGTCGCCGTTCATGCAAGTGCCAACCATCTGAATGTCTACAAAAAAAGCTCGCCCGGCCGGGGCAGCCGAGCGATTATTCGATATAGGAAAATAATTTGAAGAGCATTCTCAATGCGTGGAAATGCTTCAGAAAGTTAGCTTGAAGTTTCTGTCTAGGAATAGAATTATGTCAAGGATCGGAATGAGATGGGCTCTGCTGGCGGTGTTCATTGTGGTCTCTGCTCATATATCAGACGGAGAACCTTGAGAAGCCGCGTACGTCACCAAGATAGAGACACCGTTACAATGCCTCTTCCCTCGTCTTGTCCTGGATATACCTGCCATGGTCTTTGACTTCAAAGCTGTAGACAATTTGCGCACGCTATCCGGATTCCGGATGTTTATCATTTCCTCCACTGTTTCACGTAGTTTTGTTCATGCCTCCGTTTCGTCTTCATGCTTATATTTTGCAATCCTTGATTCTGTATGGGACTGAAAAGGTGTTTACGCTTCGATCTTTCCATTTGGGATAGTACACGCGCACGAATATCCCTCGCTTTGACCCATCTTGATGCAAATATCGCTTTGATTCAATCAGGATGCAGCTTCAAGTAAACGTCCGCTCTGACCACACACATGGACTGTGGCAACTTGCACTTATTGAACATGTTGCCACTCATTCGGGGGTCACTTCGATGAACATAACGGTAGTTCACCCGTGGGTGTCTTATACGGATTGCTTTTCTCGAGTTCATGCGACTATTCATTTACTTATCATACGTACCTTTGTCCCTCAAAGCACCACTGTGTCGAACCCAAGTACGGTCGGACCCTGTTTACCAGAGTTACATAGATAGCATCAATGCCTGCTTCCCTAATATTCTGATATCAAAAGCGTCGCAGACTGCATTATTTTCATGGTATGCGATAAGCTTTTGCAAAACTCCGCTTTGTGTCCACTACGTGCACGCCTTTGTATTAATAATGACAGTATCTTATCCCACCTAAGTGCTAAAGTTTTATAACTTCTATAGATTATTATTAGAGGCGGGGATAGTATTAAGTAAAGGAGTTAGTAATAGGCGTAGTTAGGGTTTAATTATAATAATTATTCTAATATACCTCCTCTAACCCCTATCTTCTATAGAGTTTTCCCTTTTTATTATTCCTTTAGTAACTAGTTTATCTAGTCCTAGTCCTACTCTAGTGCCCCCCTAGGGCCCTGCTCTAGGCACCTAATATAATCCTCCCCCTCTAAGGTCCTGCCCTTAGGACCTTAAGCAGGCTATCTGCTAGTAGCCCCCTTATTAGCTGCTTAGACTATTTAATAGCTAAGCCTTACGCCTAACTCCTAATCCCTTAGGGCCTTAAGCTAGCTACCTGCTAGTAGTCCCCTTATTAGCTGCTTAGACTATTTAATAGCTAAGCCTTATACCTTATACTTATCTTTTAGTATCTTAAGAGATATCTAAGAACGCTTATTAGGCTTAGTAGGCTACTAGATAAGTAGTTATTTTTTTAGCTAACTATTTACTTTTAGCTTTACCTTTATACTATTATATTTTAGCTAGGCCCTAACTACTACCTCCTTAGTGTAGTTTAGTTTTTTAGCCTAAAGTATAAGTCTTATATTACCTTACTTAGTAAAAGACTACTTACTTTATAATAAGGATACTTTATTTACTTATAATACTTTTTAATACTTTTTATTAACTAGGCTTTATAGTACTTCTTTAAGTACTATATACTTTTTATTATTTTTATTATTATAATATCTAGCTTTTTTATTAACTATTTATTAAGCCTTAAGTTATACTACTTTTATAATAAAAAAGAATTTTTATTTTACTTTTTATAGTTAGTATTAATAACTTTTTAGTTTTAGCTAGTCTTTTTTACTAAGGCTTTTTTAGTTTTAACTTTATAAGCTTAAGTTATTATTATAACTAGTTTTTTTTTTAATACTAACTTAAAATAAGTAATTTAAATTAACTTAAGTTTTTATTAATTTTTTTATTACTTATTTTTTTTTTATAATACTTTTATATTATTATTATTATTTTTTTTATTACTACTATTACTACTACTACTTAGTAGTAATAGTAATAATAATAGTATTAGTAATAGTATTAGTACTACTAGCTTTTTTATTACTATTATTATATTTACTACTACTTTTACTAATACTACTACTACTACTAATATTACTACTTTTATTACCTCTAAAAGTACTAAAGGCCTTACTACTACTTTTTTACTACTTTTTTAGTCTATTAGCTTTTTAAATAAAAAAAATAAAAATAACTATACTATAGTTTATTTTATTTTATACTACTACTACCTTTAGGCTATATCTATTTAGTATATAAATATAGCTAACACTAAGGCTAAGTTTTCTTACTACCTTAAGACTATTAGTAAGTATTTAATACCTTAATACCCCCTAAAGGCCTTTTTTTACTTATATCTTAGTTCTAATTATACTATTAGCTACTAGTAATAAGTACTTTTAGTACACTAAAATATATAATAAGAAGTATATTTATATAAGTATTTTTATATTATTATTTTTTTTTTACTAATAAGAGGTACTTTAGTAACCCCTTACTAACCCTTTATAAGCTACTTATATTATAACTTTTACTACTTTTACCTTTAAAAATATCTTTAAGGCCTTTTACTATAATAGTACTATATATACTAACTACTACTACTATAAGGTATATCTTTTTTAGTACCTTATAACTACCTCCTAACTAACTTTTTATATAAAAAGAGGTTACTACTACTTAAACTATAGTTAAAAAAGCCTTTTAAAAAAAAGTAAATACTACTAAGGCCCCTAACACTAAGTATAAGGCTAAAGCTAAAAAGGAAAAGTAGCTTTTTTATAGCTATAAGGTTATAGCTTTTAAGGCCTTTACTACTACTACTACCTTTTTAACTAAGTTAGCTAAAGTAGCTACTATAGCGCTTTAGCACTAAAACGTACTTTTTAAGGAGCAGACTAAGGCTATTAAGGCCTAAGGCACCTTTTTCTTTAAGTAGGCTACTACTTACTTTTAGGTTATATATTATTTCCCCTTTAGTAACCTTTTAGTGCTTTTTAGTTACTAACTTTTATTTTAGTATTTTACTAACTTTAACTTTTAGTCTAAAGGTAATATAGCCTTTAGTATACCTAATAGAGATAAAAATAAGAAGAAGAAGTAAGTACTACTACCTCCTTAGTGCCTCTCCCCTTAGGCCTTCTCTTAGTTTTATTTTCTTTTTTCTAGCTACTATAGCTTTAGATACTTAGCCTTTAGGCTATATACTTTCTAGCCTTAGTGCTAAAAAATAATTAAAAAATCTAGCCTTTTAGGCTAAGTACTTACTTTTACTTAGTGTTTTTTTATACCTCCCTAGTAACCTCTTACTTATAGTCTTATTATAAATCCTTAGATATATTTCTTTATAGCTTTTATAAAATTTTTTTATTATATTTTTTTTATTTAATAAGATACTACTTATTTTACTATAGTCTTTTATATACTACTATTTAGTTTACTTTATATATATCTTTTTTTTTTCTTAATTTAAATAGGCTAAAGCTTTACTAGTACTTCTTTAAACTTCTTTAGCTAAGATAATAAGAATATATTATAAATATAGTACTTTATTTTTATATTTAGCTTATAAGCTTTCTTACTAGTAACTACTTATATTACTATAAAAGGTCTAAGATACTTATTTACTAGC